TATCGATAGCATACTGAAAATCATTGGGGTCAATATATGAGGGTCGTATTTTATTATGCCCCGCGGCGAAGCCGAAGGGGCATACTGTTTCCGCCTTGTCCTTCCGTGGATGGGTGTGTGGGTGGGTGGGTGTGAGCTTGTCTTACATACGCAGTGTGGACTTCCGAACAAAAGACGTCCACATAATGTAGGTAGCAGCGACGAAGTGTGGACTTGCCCACGTCCACACAGTGTTTCCCCATCTCTGGAAAACAGGTTTAGAGGCATTTTTGGGTTAGGTTTATCTGTAGCAGAATGAAGAGAAACACTAAAGGGAATCATTGAAAAAAAATTGGGTTGTAAGAGTTTTCACAGTTTGAGAAAAATGAGTTTTTCCACTGGTGTTCCTTAACTACACGAAAAGAAAGGAAAGTCCACACTAGGTATGTGAAACAAGTCTGGGTGTGTGTGTGTGGGTGGGTGTGTGTGTCCGGACAAATCTTGTCAGCGCGATAACTTGAGAAAAACTTAACATATGAATTTCAAATTTGGTTTGTGGATTGTCCTTGGTAATCCTAAGAAGCCTTTTGCATTTGGGGCCGAAAGGTCAAGGGTCAAGGTCACAGTGGCTGAAACAATAGAAATTTTGTCAGCGCGATAACTTGAGAAATACTTTACATGTGAACTTCAAATTTGGTTTGTGGATTGTCCTTGGCAATCCTAAGAAGCCTTTTGCATTTGGGGCCAAAAGGTCAAGGGTCAAGGTCACAGTGACTAAAACAAAAGAAATTTTGTCAGCGCGATAACTTGAGAAATGCTTTACATATGAACTTCAAATTTGGGCTGTGTATTGTTCTTGGTAATCCTAAGAAGCCTATTGCATTTGGGGTCGAAAGGTCAAGGGTCAAGGTCACAGTGGCTGAAACAATAGAAATTTTGTCAGCGCGTTAACTTGAGAAATACTTTACATATGAACTTCAAATTTGGTTTGTGGATCATTCTTGGCAATCCCAAGAAGCCTATTGCATTTGGGGCCAAAAGGTCAAGGGTCAAGGTCACAGTGGCTAAAACAAAAGAAATTTTGTCAGCGCGATAACTTGAGAAATACTTTACATGTGAACTTCAAATTTGGTTTGTGGATCATTCTTGGTAATCCAAATAGGCCTATCGCATTGGGGGTCGAAAGGTCAAGGGTCAAGGTCACAGTGGCTAACACAATAGAAATTTTGTATTTATTCTGAGATCATAGGGATTATGGATTAATTCATATAAAACCTACAGAAGACACTAATGCTGTCAATGAACGTTCCATGTGACCAAGGTACATGTAAGTTGATGTTATTATCAAGTTGATTGATTATCTCCTCAATGCTTGAGTTGAATCCAGCAAATCAATCCTCGAAGTTTATCGTCACGTTTGAGGTATTGATAGTGGAGACCACGATACATGTACATGTACGTGCACAGTAACAAATTAAATGCGTGCGTGGTCCGGTATATACCACGCATGCATTGACTGCAGCAGTAGTCATTCAATAAGACAACCCCCAAAATGGACAGAGCGCATGCGTACAGCCTAGAGGGGGTACTGGTATCGATATGTTCATGATGCATGATGTATGCAGCAAAGATCCTATAGCGCCGCGTAGTGGTATGCAGTAGGACACCCTTTTTCGAAACCGATGGATGCAGCGATCACGGGCCGTGCGAAACCACTTTTCACTCGACACTTTGCCAACCGCAGTACAGGAAGTCGATGTCAATGCGTGATTTGTTGAATGCCGACTTACACAATGGATTTTGTAATGCTTTTTATGGAAAGGGGACCGAGAGTAACCTGACGACTTGAGCAAAATGGCGACTTATAAAAGCCGACTTAGAAATAAAAAATTCAATGGAAATGCATTACGGACAATCCGGACTTTAGTCAGACGGCCGACTTGAGCGATTTGACGAATTGTACGATGTCTGTTTAGCCGGAGTTTACTGTATACCCTTAGCCACCAACCAATTTTGAGTGGCCAGAGCTCCACTGACAATACCTGTTAATTTACCTGTGTCTTCTACGCTTAGTTTATTTAATTCCTGTGTTTTCATTTTGAGTAGTTTATTTCCTACCATAGCGTATGCCATCGGAAGACCTCCTACGATAGCTCCGTGATAAATTGTATTTGCTATTCCGCTGGTGTCAAAGTTACTCATCATTTTTATTAAATAACATTTTTTAAATTGGTGGGTCATTCCATGTCTAGTGTTCTATACGAGGGGCATTGGGTGTTGGTGTAGCTGATGGTGTAGGTACTGGCGGTTGCACTGGCGCAGCTGCGTTACTTTTTAGTATCAATAATCCCAATCCTACTATCAATGCTACAGCTCCCCACACCATCCAAGAGCTTATACCCTGTTTCACTCATAGCGTCGTTTGATGTTGGCTCCATTTTTGCTTATTTTAATTTCATCTGTCTATTGTGCTCTGCTAGAGCTTTACACTGTTCTTTTCTTTTAGGATTTTCAGTCTTGGTCACTCTCGTTACCACCGGTTTTGTTGGTGGTTTTGCTGATTGAGACACTGCTGACTCAGATGGTTGAGAAGTCGCCACTTGTTGATCCTCCATTTATTATATTAGGATTTTTAAAATTTTTGTTGAATTTTAAATGTTTTGTGGTGATTATCGCAGCTATCACTTTTGAGGGCGCTCTTGTCCTGAGCAGCCGTGTTTATTTTTCTCTGAGATCAGTTGCTTTGTAAATTCCTTTTTAATTCGTATTTGTACTGGCTTTTTTCTTAACCATGTTGATGTTGAGGATCTCTGCCTTCCGATTGTGTCGCTATTTGTGACTTTGTGGACTCTGTGAACTCTGTGAGTTTGTATTTTAACTTTTGAAATTTCGTTTTTTCATCGTGACTGTGATAACTGTGTATACATGTTTTCAAGATGGCCGTCGTGCATATCTTCGTTGTTTCGTAGCTACAGTGAACTCTTTCTCTCCTGGACGCGAATATGAAATTCCTTACTTATTCCAAGGATAGTTTGCTCGCGATGAGACATTTATCGTCCAATCTCAGACTGGGACAGACCGTCTGGAATACCATAAACGTCCTAAAAATCAACAAATTTCGTCGAGGTTGACGTGGCGGACAGATGAAACAGCGGAAAATTGTCACTCGCGTAGGTTATTTTCGGCAGAATTCTGACAATCGTTCCATAAACCATGGCAGTAACCCAGCTAGCCTTATCAGGATCCCACTACAACATTCCAGTAACTGTGCATCATCAGTTAGATTTGCTGCATGGAATGCGCGGTCCATGAAATCAAAGACTGCATCTGTGTGTGACTTCATTATTTCAAGTAAGTTGGACATTTTGGCAATTACAGAGTCGTGGTTAACTGATGATGATTGCTGTCATCGTGCAATTGCTGATATTAAACACAGCTTACTGAACTTTGAACTGCATCACATTCCTAGAACTCATTCGATCAGTGGGGAAGGGGTTCTCTGTGTGAGCTAACACTAGTTTCACGTTTGAATCCTTTGAACACATGGACCTCACCATCACGGCCAAGTCCACGTCTCTAAGACTTTTCGTTGTGTACCGTCCGTCGTACTCCAAGAGGAATAAGCTGACATCAGGCATGCTCTTCGCAGACTTCTCAACTATGTTGGAATGTGTCAGTAATGTTACCGGGAGTGTATTGCTTGCTGGAGATTTCAATTTCCACATGGATGATAATGCAGACAGTGACGCAAACACCATGGTCAACATGCTGAATATGACAGGTCTCAAACCCACAAAAGCGGTCATACACTTGACCTCTTAATCACCAGGGACAGCGATAATGTGATATCTGCCATCACCACTCAAACTGATCTTCCATCTGATCATGCAGCTACGGTGGGCTCTCTTAATTTAGCATGTCCTGACAACTGTGAACTATTGGTGCTTCTTGAAGCACATGTGCCTAATGTGACACAGTTTTTTACTCTGAGACCACACGCACCCTGGTACAGCAACATTCTTCGTGAACAAAAACAGGTGAAACGTCGGCTGGAGCGCAAGTGGGTGTCATCTGGACTAGAAGTGCACAAGCAGCTGTACCAAGAAGAATGTCAGAACTACACTCGAGAAGTCCAAAATTGACTATCACAAAGCACAGGTCAGTGGTTGTGAGCAGGGAAAGCTCTTCCGCCTTATGGATAAACTCTCTGCTGTTAGACCCAATAAAGTCCTTCCATTGCATGAATCATCCAATCAGCTTGCAGGAGAATTCTCCGAGTTCTTCTGTGAAAAGATTGAATCTGTGAAAACTGAATTAGATAGCTTCATCGGAACTATTGTTCCTACTCAAGATGCAAAAAGAGATGTTCACCAGCTCTGTAATTTTCAGAGGTTGACACCCGACGCGATTCGCAAAATTATCAAGGACTCGAATTCAAAGTCTTGCTGAAGCGGTGTTTTGACGAACTTCTACCGGCTGTTCATGAAATTGTGAACTTCTCCATCACATCTGGGGAAGTACCTGGTAGTTTCAAAGCAGCCCAACTAACACCATTGATCAAGAAACCATCACTCGACCCCGATCGTATGAAGAACTACCGACCAGTGTCAAACCTCTCTTACTTGTCTAAGATTACTGAGCGCTGTGTCGCTGCTCAGTTAACTAGACATCTTGACATGCATAACTTACATGCTGAGAGACAGTCTGCCTATCGTAAACACCACTCTACAGATACAGCTCTTGTACGTGTTTCGAATGACATTCTTCGAGCTGTGGATACACATGAGGAGGTTGTTCTTGTTCTGTTGGATTTGACAGCTGCGTTTGATACAATAGACCATGGTATTTTCTTACAAAGACTGTCAAACCGTTACGGTGTAACTGGAACAGCTCTCCAATGGTTTAAGTCATATCTCTCTGGCCGCACTCAATCGGTTGTGATTGACGGATCGCAGTCTGACCCAGCAACTTTGACAAATGGTGTCCCACAGGGCTCTGTACTTGGGCCACTGTGCTTCACAATGTACATCGCACCTCTTGAAGAAGTGGTTGCATCATTTGATGGCGTCCAGTTGATGTCATACGCGGATGACACACAACTCTACATGGTCATCAACTCATCGAAGAAGACTGCTGCAATTTCGGAACTTGAACAATGCATCAACTGTGTGAAATCCTGGATGATCGCGAATAGGCTGAAACTCAATGATGGGAAGACAGAGGTTCTGCACATCACATCCAAGTTCTTGAGGCGATCATCACCTACTGACACATTTGCAGTTGGTTCGAATGTCACTCACACAGCGTCTGCTGTATGCAACCTCGGGTTATCATTTGTCAAACATGCTGGCATGACCACACACATAAAAATGTACCCAAGTATAGTTTCCAAACATAGTGACAATTTCTCTTCCAAATTAAGCTTCGTATCTCTGGTATAGTTTTTGGAGTTCTTTACCATCGAGGCTTTTGAGATTTTTGACGGTATACTCTTTTCCTAAATGAGTCTCCAGACGCTACTACAGCGCACAGTCGGTCTCTGTGATCTGTGTTTTGATTCGATGTTTTGCTGGGGTCACTTAAAGCAATTTTTAAGTCTTCTATTTATTGAAAAACAAGTGTAATTTTAGCAGAGCTGAAAAAAAACGACTAGATGTTATGTCGTATATGATAGTGCAATAACATAGATACTGTAAGTGTAAAACAATAAATTAAGAGCTATGACGATAATAGCAAAAAAATTAAGTATTCAAATAATGCTATCATTTTAACTAGTTATAAAGCTAGTTGATTTTTTGTTGTAAAGCTAGGTGATTAGCTAGTTGATCTTTGTTGATAAGCTAGTTGTAAAGCTAGTTGATATTTGTTAATTACATTATTTGTTTTTTGTTGTAAAGCTAGGTGTTTTTTTGTTGCCCAGCTACCAGTAGTTGGTATTTGTTGCGCAGCTAGTTATTTTTAGCTGCTCATTTAGCTCTTAATTAAGTGGAGGCTCGGTCTGTACGACTAATTTACTATATTTTACATCTCTCAAATGCTGTTTTATATGATCTCATAGTTTGAAGGGTACGACATCGTTTTTCGTCTAATGCATGATCAAAAGATGTTTTGAAAACTTTCCTTGCAATAAAATAACGCCAACCAAGCGGTATTTCTCTGTAATAAACACTGTTATATTTTTAAGTCAACAACCACCAACTGTGATTAAAATGTCTTCCGCTAAATGCCATAAAGCGCGCGTCTGTTTACGATATTTAATCTCTTGATCCAAAGAGCAATTGTCTTCGATAAACAGTGTAGCAAAACCCACGAATGCTTTCCTGTAACCATCAATCGCTTCATTGAGTGTACAATTCCAGATGGCAGAGGTATACCTTCGGATCTGTGTTAACCCACTCTCTTTGGATATATACGTTTGATTTTTAAAGACGGTAGGACAAATGCTGACAACCACTTCAAATATGTATTATAGTCTGACTCTAGTATACAAAATGCATTTGGTTTTTCCCGAATTTGTTCTTATACCAACAATTAAATCACAATGCGGCTGTGTCATTTTAACTTAAACTTTTAAAATTCTTTTAACTGCTTTTAAGTTAAGACGACAGAGATTTAAAATTTCCATCTTCCAAGGTCAATTGACCGTCCATGATTAAAAATACGTACATTGTGAGGTCACCTTGGTTTTCGGCTTCTCTGAGAAATTGAACGTTGATGCCTTCTCCGTCTCCAAGTTTCCTACCGGATCCATGAGTCGCCGAGGTCGCAACCAGTCTAATTTAAGTCTTTGGTTACTCCGCGCCCGCTGTAGGTATCGATGTCTCCAAAAAACTTGCTAATTTCATTCCAGTGTTGGTATTAAAACATGCTGGCAAGTAGAGTTGATTAGGTTTACCTTCTACAGTCACCGATGTTTTGGTTATTTTTGGATTGGAAAAATTGCTGTGGATTTTTGACCATGGGATCTTTAAACAAAACCAAAATACCCTTGAGACTCCTGATAGGTTGATTGACGCTGTCGTTCCAAAGCATGTCCGATTTGTTGACCGACCTATTAACTACAAGTGAGTGAATTCTATCAAACAGGTATTGCATCAATCCCTTGTGTTTATTTTTGTTGGTGGTAACCTGTGTTAATAGCGATCGCAGCCCCCATTCTGAGTTTAGACATGTTTTCTCTTTCAATTCTCGAGTACGCCATGTTTTGAGTCACTGTGCCATTGAGCCAATTGTCTTTAAAATTGTGATACTGAGCATGAAGGTTTGAAGCCTGTTTAGATGAAGACCCATCTGTATGCAGTAACTGTTACAAAATGTACATGTACATTATGTATTTGTAAGCTTTTCTCGTCTTTGGTTTTGCAGAATGTGCTGAAGGGGACACAGTGTGTCAAAGTGACGTTGAGAAGGATATGCAAGGATTAGAAGCCATCAAGTCTATCCATAGACAGATTGATGATGACCATAATGGCAATGTGGACCTGTCTGAAAGTGACGAGGTAAGTTGCTTACTGTGTTTCCTACTTTTCAAAATAAATCAACAAATGCCCAGTGTCTTTTAACTTTGAAATTTTAAAGTTACCCCGGTAGTGCTAGGCTTGGGTAATGAGATGTCATGTTGAAAAAAAAATGTGAATATAAATTGTGACCAGCCCCCCAAAAATTAGTCACAAATTGCCAAAGCTACTTCTGAGTTTAAAAACCTCTAAATAACAGAAAATAACACAATGGAAATAACAGGAACAGTCGACATTTTAAACCAAATAATGTCTTTAAGGCCAAAAAAAAAAAGTCTCTGGTTTCTGGTATGCGCGCGCGTCGCCGTAGCCATGCGCGTCGGCAAAATGAAAAAGTTTTTTTTCCAATACAAGATGATGTCTCAAAACCGCCAAACTCACTGGTTCGACTGGAATTCTGCTGCTGCACAATTTTAACGTGTTTTTAGATGGGGTTATGATCGAGAATAAGCTTTATGTGGCCTTTTTGGACTCCCATATATTTGCACTAAGTTTAGTCGGGCACCATTTGCAGTCATCAGCCGACATTTGAAGCCAAAAAAAAAAAAAAACAGGTAAAAAAAAAAAAAAAAACTGTGTCGCCGCACCACTTTTGGGGCAAGCTCCATACCAGAAACCGGAGACTTTTTTTTTTGGGCCTATGTGTTTATAATGTGAAACAGACAGAGAAATCAAAAGCAGGATAAGATACATGTACATGTACACGTATCTGTAGCTGTATCGGTAAAGCATCCCACGGGAAACATCACACCAACTTAGAGAGAAGACAATGAGAAGAAATGACAGTTTTAGAGGTGGGAGGAAAAGCCCAGAAGAACATTCTGGGGAAAACCCATGGAATCAGGTAAGGACTGAAAACCCAATCCACATGTTGACCCGGGCAGGATTCGAACCCGGGTCACAGTGGTGGAAGACGAGGAAAGTACCTCTATGCCAACCTGACTCCCCCATGTATGTGCCTCCTACTGAATGCCTCCTACGAACATTTTAACAGCACTTGAAAAGTTGTCCAGGATAAGACTCATTTCATGAAATCCGGTCACAATTTTTGTATTCTCTTTTTATGACATCATGAATATTTAATGAGGCAATATATCTCGACAATACTTGTATAATTCAATTCAATTCAATGCAACATTTATTTCCAAATCATACAAACACTGTAATAATTACATGAAAAAAAAAAAACCCAATAGTTTGAGGCATAAACACAAAAAGCCGAAGCTTGTAAGGGGAATGCCTTGGAGTTAAATGAACAATACCGGGGTATACATTTGAAGTATGATAGTAAATAAGTACAACATATACATATGTACAAGTTACAGAACAGAAGAAATGTAACATACACACAAACGAACAAACAAGCAAACGAACACCCCAACTAACCAACAAACAACCACAACAAACAAACAAACAAACGGACAAAGGGCGAACAAATGGTAATGAGTAGAAGTTGAAATACTAAAATAATATTATATGATAGAGGAAAAATAATGTTTGAATGACGCACAGGGTTGAACTACATGTAGTTTGGAGTAATACAAGGAGGTATGTGTAGACGGACGGAGAAATGCAAACAGGTAAAGGTATCAGGGTGAAACAAATAGAATAAAAGTTAAAAAATAAAAGTAAAAAAAAAGTCCATTAGGAAAATTACAACAACAACAAAAAAAGATTTAGTGGAGAAAAACTATGTTACATAAAGAGAGAGAGATAATATTGGATGGCCTTGAGGGGCATATACATACATGTATATTGGAGCTATAAAATATCGAGTGCAATGTATTTTTTTATCCTCAGAAAAAAGCCATCCAATATTTGTGTTATTATAAATATTTAAATAAGGCTGACTTGATCCGAAAGAAGTAATTTTCATGTCGCTGTCTCATAAAAAAATCACCCCAGTACCACTTCCTCGGTACTATAATGTTAACTTCAAGAAAATGTAGGGGAGAGAGATAGTGTTCTCATGCTCTCCTTGATATATTTGTCTTAGAACCTACTTTTTTTGTATTCCTTAAGGTGTCTAGTAAATGAATTTTTTGGGGGGGGGGTGGGGGGGGGGCACTTGTTCCCCAGTAGATGTCCTTGCCCCGAGGTGTTTAACAGCCCTCCCCCTTTAAAATCTTGAATTGGAAAAAAAACATATCGACCAGAAGTTTAACCCTACTTTCCTGGTATTGCACGCTTTGCTTTCAAAATAAGATGGGCAAGTTCTAATCACATGCAATGAATAACCAGCATGGTGACACTTAGCTCAAACTGTTCACACTGTTGGGGGATGGGGGGGGGGGGTGGGGGGGGGGGAACCGGGGTATCCACTGGGGACACATGCTCCCACTAATGATCCCCCCCTTTGATATTTGTTAATAACGTTAGTTGTTTTTTGTTGTTTGTAAAGCTAGTTGTTTTTTGTTGCCCAGCTACAGGTAGTTGGTATTTGTTGCGCAACTAGTTATTTTTAGCTGGTCAATTAGCTCTTAATTAATAAGTGGAGGCTCAGTCTGTACAACTAATTTACTATATTTTACATCTCTCAAATGCTGTTTTATATGATCTCGTAGTTTGACGGGTACGACATCGTTTTCGTCTAATGCTTGATCAAAAGATGTTTTGAAAACTTACAATAAAATAACGCCAACCAAGCGGTATTTCTCTGTAATCTTTTAAAAGGCTGTTATATTTTTGAGTGACACCTACTGGTACCTCAAACTGTTCACACTGTTTGGGGATGGGGGTGGGGGGGGGGGGGGAACCGGGGGTATCCACTGGGGGATATGTGCTCCTACTTATGATGACCCCCCCCCTTAGTTACACCACTATCTAGAGCTAGCAAGATGCTGTATATAAACATTTGAAACAACACATTAGGGCTGTCAAGGACAAGTATTTACAGGTCAACGTGCACTTTGTGTATGTAAGTACGTGTGTAAATATATGCAAATTAGAATTTTTCCGTGGACATGCTATCTTTAAAAAAATCATAACTTTAAAACTTTAAAACTTTAAGAGCGCCCATCCTAATTTTTTTGAAAGATTGTTGCTGACATCATAAACTAACATTTGGAAAAAAATTACGAAATTTGAAGCATATTGTTTTTTGTAATTCAAGGTCAAAGGTCATTTCGTTTCATTTTATGAAATGGAGGCCATTCAAAGAGCTTTAATAAGGGAATAACAGTGTGAGGATCCGGTCTTCACTGCGTGATAATGACCGGGTGTGGGGGTGACCGCTGTTAATGGACTGAGACAAAGTCGAGGTCCATTAACAGCAGTCACCCCCACACCCGGTCATTATCAGTGAAGACCGGATCCTCACACTGTTATTCCCATTAATAAATACCTTTTTAACGAAATAAACAGTTAAAATGCTCCAATTTTGTGACTTTCTTTCGGTGATATTTCCAGACTTTTTTGTGTTCATGTTCATGGGCCATATTTTAGCTTAACAGCTATAACGACGTAAACTCAACAGAAACTGCTGCTGTAGCGAAACAAATTACAACAATGTTTTCATATCTTTACCTGATGGAGGAAGCTGAAATCTCGTTTACACATTCCTTGTGTCCAGAATTACAAAGATGCTTGGTTTAGGAAAGGTAAATATGTCGGTGGGTGAAGTGTTCAAAGAAAATAAATCGTAGATCTTTCGTCGTAAACATCCTCAGTATATACTGCACTGCTGTACGATGTCGTTTCAAAACTTCCTTACGCGCGCGCACGCACGCATCCCTAGCAACTGTGTTGCGTACGCGCGCGTCAGTCTCACGCGATGGGGGTTGAGCGCATGTGCAGTGCTCTATTGTTACAAGCTACCGCAGGACTGTTACTATAATTTGACCAATCATTGGCTTGCATGGGGCTGAACGGGGCTGGATCAATGCTGGTTCAGGGGCCATTTATTTGCTTGATCTTTGAAGCCGGTCCATTATCACCGTTAATGCCCGGCCACGTGATCGAGTCTCGACCAATCAGAAACCATCAACTCTCCAAGGTATTTAGGCCCCATCTCGATAATGAATGCCCGTTATTTCCCGTTCTATCTGCGTTCCGGACGATCAGTCTGCAGTTGTCAAGGAGGGCGGGAATCTGCAGACTGGACAGGTGTGTTCACTCAAGCACGGCGACTTTAATGAGCAGGACCAGCCGTGCGCTTTTGTTATCTCAACAATGATGCAATGAATAAACACGAGTCAACGTAGACCTCGTGAATACACACGGCCGGAACGCAGAAAGACGATCCGTTTTGTTATCAAACAAAATTGTTCATTATGATTGTGTGAGCAGGAACCGGCCTTTTAAATACAAGTGAATATAATACTAGGGAAGCGAACATCGAAGCGAATTCGTCATCTGCAATCATTTCCAGAAAGGTTTCTGTAATTAATATAATAATTTATTTCATGGCGAGAACTTGAACTGTCGGTATATGAACATTAATTTCACCGAAACCTTTAGGCTTTAAACCGAGTTTTCTTACGAAGATCGTAACAAAAGCCGATGGTACATGGAACATATTCACTGCGTATAAGATAACTGCCGGGATAACAGCGTTTTTTGTGTGTCATTCTAACAAAGTATTTCACTGCATTTTACTCCCAGATTGCCGTATTTCAATTCAAATTAATGTTTCCGAAGTTCTCCACTTCATTATATAACGATGTGTCACGTAAGTTTGCCGCGAAATTCTGAAGAATTGAGAAGTTTTATGCTTCTATAAGAATTACCATTTGGAAATTTAAACACAAATTGAGGTGGGCAACATTCCGGGAAATAAATCACTGCTAAACGCTAGGAAAGAATTGTGAGGGTCTATTAAGTTTGCGTTTAAATTCTTATTTATTTGACGTACATATAAAAAGGCCAAGGAGTAAAATGTTTTAAGAAAAGAATACATGAAACAGCCGTTTTGCTGGCGGGGATTTCCCCCAGCACGCAACGCAAACAGTCAGCTCCCAAATACAATTGTGTACTAATTCAAG